TTCAGTGGACCTGCTTCGAGAAAGGCACCCTTGATATCTCCGAGTTGGAGCGTCCACTGGTGTGAAGCTATCAATTGCATCAACAGCATACGACCCATTTGGCTCAGTGTCGGAGACTGCAGGAGGCCTTCTTGTGCTTTCTGATCTAAGTCCGGATCGAGATGTCCTTGCAAACACCAACGGCTCTTGATTTTGTACGTGGAAGGATTGGACAAGTCAATATGCTGATTCTCTTCACTGGGTTTCCGGATGATGACAAACCGGGATCCCATGAATCGGTCGGCTTGTTCTTCTTTGATCTTTTGAGCCTTCTTACCGTAGTAGATTCGGACTACGCCTTTCTCCAACAGGGTTTGCCATTCTACAGTTTTGGATGCATCTACTTCTTTTTGGACATCAGGTGGGTGACCACTATGATGGACCTCTTTGGACAACTTCTTTTCCATGTACTGCGCAATCATGATTTCTATTTCCACGGTGGGATCATCCCAGCTGACCATCAGTTCTCCTACATCTTGGACTGACAACACTTCGGAGCTGGGTTCTGGTCTAGCCTTTTGAGCTGGTGGTTGTGACTCCGTGGACAGCTCGGCTTCGGATGGACTGCGCTTATGCTCTCCGGTGGGTGCGGCATCCAAGAGTCGAGGCACTACCTCTCGCATCATGTCTACGAAATCTTCGTGCTTCATGGCAGATGGTCGATACAACGCAGCTCCATGTGATTTTCCTTCTACTCGGTGTCTGATAGGTCCATAATGATACGAGGTCGATCCGGCCTGAGACTCCTGGTTAGCCTTGAAACCTGAGCTCGACGAAGATCCACTGGCAGATGAGGGTTGCTGCATGATGACATCAGTGGGGTCTTCATGGACTTTTGCATGTTCTGGGGTCATGGGAGACTTGTCAATGAGGGTGGGATCTTCCGATGCCTCATCATGACCCTTGGTCTGTTCAGCGGACTTCACTGCCGGCATTGGAGAGTCTTGGACTTGATCGCTCTCAGGCACTCCAGTCACATGCTCTGCATCGGACTGTGCTGGGTAACTTCCGGGGACAAGATCTATGTATTGACTACTACGGAACGTACCTCCTTCGATCAAGTCACGGATACCTAGCAGCTCAGCCTGTGGTGTCTTAACTAGTGCTTGTTCTTCATTTGTGGCTGGTCTCAACTGTTCAGGAGCCACGCGAAAAAATCTGCTTCCTATGGACCACTAGATAGTTCTTTCCTACTGATCCTAACACCACAGCTGTGCCCCACCATCGACCCCCTTGGATTACCCCTTCAGGAGTATATTTCTGTGCTCTCCAGTAGGCCACCAATGCTCCTGGCTCGAATTGGATGTGCTTACGCGGCCGTGCCGCCAGAGCGCGACGAAGGGCCTGATCGTCTTGTGTCTCTAGGACGGCCTTTCTGGCAGCGAAACGAATCGCCTGTGCTGTAGCTACGGCGTCATCCGAGAGACTGGCTGTGGCAGGAACAACTCCTATGGGTTCGTCCAACAGATCCTGAGGGATATTGGGATTCTTGCCGAACACATATTGGTGAGGCGTGTATCCATAGAACTGGATCATGGAGTTCTTGACGTGACTCTGCAACACACATTGTTCCCATTCTTCTCGAGTTGAGGGCACTCTGGACTGCATCGTCTTTTCCAACACTCGTGAAAACCAGCCCCCCATGTGTTTCTGTGCGTCCTAATTGCCAATGAGCCTCTCCCGGAATAGGCCGAACATAAACACCTAGATGTTCCAGGTATCTTTGCAAGGGCTCGCCTAAGTTCGTCTGGGCCGAATCCATGACCACTTCCTGAGGTGGTCCGAACACACGAATCCAGTGCATGGCCAGCAACCGTTGAATCAGTTCTGAAGTCTCTCGTTCAAAGAAAGGAATCATCAGTTGATAACAACTGCCATGACAAACGATGTTGAGTGCTTTCACCTTCTGGTTGGGACGCCAACCTTGTAGATACTTGACATCGATGCCTATCACTTGATTGAAACCTGAAGGTCGACTAGCTTTAGAAGGTAGCGGGACATGAGGTCTTTGTTGGGCCTTGCACAAATCACATGAATGTTGTCTCGCTAAACTGATCGCTTGTTCAGAGGCATGGGCATGCTTCAACACTCTCACGAGATCCTCGGTTGGCGGATGGCCAAGATTGCGATGGACTCGATCAATCACTTTCTTAATATCAGCTTCTGTGCCCTGATTTAGATCTGCCTTGACCATCATCACTTCTTGGATGGCCTGTGACGGGATGGCATCACATGGCACTTGCAAACTCTCGGAGGCTTGTCGGTAGCTGGGCAATGTTCGCAGAACCGCCTGAACAAAGGCTGGAGTATATTGACCGGCAAAAGTACTGACCTGACCTACCGACGGATGAGTGCCAGCTACCGGAAGATGACACTGATGATGTGCATGTTTTTCCCCAGGGCACTCCTTAGCTAGATCAAGCATACCATCACCTGCAACGAGCAGTTGGTGGCTTTGCGAATCAATCTCTTATCCCCTGGAACCCGAAGATCGTATCGGCGCATATGGCATTTGATCACTTGACATTTATCGAGGAGTTCTCTGACTTCGGGATATTGCCAAATCTTGGACCCTAAGGGGTGTTCCAGCAGTACACGACCACCATGGTTGAGTTGATTTCTGATCAACTTACAGCAAAACTTCACGAAGATTCTGCTTCGGCGGATCCGACGAAGTCGCTCAGCCGTTGACCACTTGCTCGAGTTCAAGTGGAACCAACCTCCCTCATCGGTGCATGGGGGAGAGGCAACCAACAAATCAGGTGGATTGGCTTGCAAAAAGTCTTCTACATAGGTTCGAGTTGAGGTTTTCTCAAAATCGAATCCAGTTTTGATGTCATAGGAACGACAAACTCCTCCTACTTCTTGGACAAAGGGTGCAAAACGAGGAGGATTGAAAACTTCTGCCACCATGAATCGCTTACCCTGAATCTTACTGCTGGGTTGCCGAGTCGAGTTTCGAATTTGTGAGCTCACTTGTCTCACTTGGCGCACGCTCAGGGATTCCAGAGGCATGTTCACTTCCTGAGGACGAAACATGTACTCGGTGCGAATATGCAAAACTTCTTTTGGGATTTCTCTGGCATAGGCTTGCTTTCCTTTCTGTGGATTGATGGGCTCATCGAACAGCACCCGGTTTGATCCTCTGTCGAAAACACGCCTGTGTACTATCGTGTCCCAGTTTGGTCCTTGTTTACCGAGTTTAGGCACATGAGTCAAAAAGGAATCTTCCCTGGACCAGGTTTGATATTTTGACGAGTCTCGGACTGGTGCTTTCATCTCATCCACTTGTCGAGTGTCCAGTGGAAGCTCATCGGCAGGCTCAGGCATGGACATGGAGGCCTTGGCGGACTCGGTGGATTGAACTGTCTGTTCATCAGCCAGCATGACTTCCTGGAACTCTTCCGGTGGATCAGTGATGGGTGCACTATCATCGATCAGGCGCACCACAAACTGACCAGCTTCATTGGTCTGCAGGGGGATCTTTCGTTGATCGGTGAACAGCGTCATGGTGCTATCCGAGAAGTTGATCACAGCATTCAGCTTCTGGAGGGCCGCTCTGGAGATCAGGAGCGGTGCGTCTCCTTTCACACTAGCAGCTCGGATGGAGCCCATTCGTCCTCCCAGGACGACAGGCACTTGAACTGCTTGCTGTGACACTTCCTGCTCTCCGTTGCCATATTTGAAGAGGTTCTTCTCGGCAATGCGGCTGGGGATCTTCTGGTTTCGGTCCCTCCACAGTTGCTCGAAGGACTGGAGGGTTCGTTCTCCAATGATCGAGCGACCACAGCCCGAATCCAAAACCCCAAAACCCGGGGAACTACTGACCAACAACGCTTCTTGTGATTGCTCAATGTCAACTTGTTCAACAGCAACTTGCTCAATGTCAACATGCTTTGACACCAATGTACTGTTGTCAACTTGCTCAATGTCAACGTGAACCAACAATGCACTGTCGTCGATGTCCTTGTGCTTGGTGGAACTGTCAATCGGGAGTCCACGATCCCGGTTCTTTTGGTCTCGCAGGCGGGTCAATGTGGGCCAAAGAGGCATGACAGTTGCGATGAAATACTCAGGCACGTGTTCGACCACAGCAGCTCCCGTAGGCGGCAAGGGTGTTTTGGACTTGCCTTTCCCTTTTCCTTTGGGAGGTGGTGGTAAGTGGCAATCTCGTGCCCAATGTCCGATCTGTTGACATCGGTGACACCGTGTCTTCTTCTTCAGCTCGGAGACCTCGATTTGGAAGCTTCTCCTGACCTCACCAGCCTGTTTGAACTTCCGTTCTTTCTGAAGACGGTTCAACTCTTTCCTCTTGTCACGCCAGGTCACGGCAAGAGCCTCCGCGACCTCCGATTCGTCATA